GACTTGACTGGTGTTAGTCCGGCTCTGAGGCATTATTTCCGAGGACGAAAATGTCTTGTGGTGCGAGAGGACGTGATATGTCGCGTTTTGCACAGTGAGAACGCAGGAGAGGGCACAAAGTTTCAAATTTTGGTGCCAGTTGCGTTGCGCGGTCAGGTGCTGAGTGAGTACCATGATCATCTAGGTCACTTAGGTGTGACTAGAACGTATCACCAGATTCAGTCCAAGCTCTTCTGGTATGGCATGAAGAGAGATGTGGAAGACTGGATTGGTAGTTGTGCGTCGTGCAGTCGACGATCGAGACCTGTGGGACGTGGAAGTGGCGCACCACTAGAGGTCACTTGGTCGGGATATCCATTCGAGAGAGTTGGAATGGATTTGATTCCCGGATTGCCAGAGACAGATGCTGGCAACAAGCACATTTTGGTAATTGTTGACTATTTTACCAAATGGGTTGAAGCGTATCCGCTGAAAAGGATGGATGCATCCACGATAGCTTCAAAGTTTGTGAGTGAGTTTGTTGCAAGGTTTGGAGCACCGGAGAGTGTGCACACTGACCAGGGCAAAAACTTTGACTCCAGATTGTTCAGAGATGTCTGTTCAATGCTTGGTATTAAAAAGACCAGGACGACGGCTTATCACCCTGCTGGAAATGGGTTGGTAGAGCGTTTTAATCAGACATTGGAGAAGATGATTTCTCACTATGTCGATGTGCATCAGCGAGATTGGGATGTGCATTTGCCGGCGGTTTTGATGGCTTACAGAGCCACGCCTCAGGCGAGTACGGGTTACACGCCTGCGTATCTACTGTTCGGTAGACAGATGTGTCTGCCACAGGATGTCGCTTATGGCTTACCACCTGATGAGATGGTCAGCTTATGCGAGCCTAGCTACGTCAGAGATTTGAGACAAAGGCTAGCGCATGTGCATGCAGTTGTGCGGAAGAAGTTGGAAACCGTGCACAAGCATCAAGCTCACTTGTATGATTCGGGAGCAGTACCCGTTTCATTCGCAGAAGGAGATCTGGTATGGTTGTTGGTACCAGCAGTTCCGGTGGGGACTACTCCGAAGTTCTCCAAGCTCTGGCAAGGGCCGTTTGAAATAGTAACGAAGCTGTCAGACGTAGTGTATCGGGTGAGAGATACACGAGCGGCCAATGTCAAGGTGCAGATTGTGCACGTGAACAGGCTAAAACGATGTAGAGTAAGGCCTAACCATCTTCACGCTGTGAGTGAGGTGGAGGAACCTGAAGATGCTGAGTCTGTCGAAACGCCCCCGGCTGATGTGTATGTGCCGGACCCTACAGACTTGTTGTATTGGGATTCTGATGAGGATGCCCAGCATGAGACGTATGGCGGCGTGGACGGTGTTGGCGGCCAACCAGTTGTGCAGATCCCGCTACCAGTCAACCAGCCACCGCCACAACCAGCCCAGATTGCGGTTCAGACTCGAGCTGGGAGGACCGTCCGGCCACCGCAGTACTTTGGAATGCAAACCCAGTTGAGAAGACGACGGTAAGCCGAATGTTGTCGCCACGAGGACGTGGCAGTCTTTTCGAAGGCGCGGGGAGATGTCATAGCCCGAGAGTGAGGGCTTGTAACTTTTAACTACTGCTGATAGCTACTGTGCGTAGAACGTGGACACACTGTGTCTTCCGGACCGTAGTTGGAACAGTTATTATACAATATAATATACGGTGTGTGCCGGCGAGGTCACCTACCCAGTGAGACTGTAAAATGATAGGTTTGGCTGCTGTCAATAGATGAAGCGCACGACTGTGCATTTGCAGTAGAAAGTGCAATACCTGTAGTTATGAATTCGCTTTATAGTAGTAGTAAGCTAGGTGTGGATGTGCGTGATTGCACCTGCTTGACCATTGACTGGCTATGCTTTTAATCAAGTACATGTTGCGGTCCAGACGCCGGGTCTAGGCTTGCCCCGTTCTAATACCCTTTCACACTTTGCGTATCTTATGATGACAGCCGCTTCTAGATCACGCAGACCTGTGCGTGTGCGTGTGTGCGTGTGCGTGTCCGATCGCCGTTCCGCGCAGCGGACAAAGTTGCAGTTCAGCTGCATGTTTAGCAAGTACTATCGCTACTGCCGCTGCTTGCTGTTTTCTACGATGTGTTATATCATGGCATGCTGCTGCTTTTAGCGAGAGGTTCTTTCGGTGCTCTTCTTCCAAACAGAAACATATTCTCTGCTCTGACGAGATCAGTTGGTGTGTGTGTGTTGGGATTAGGATTGGGTGAAGTTGCGTTCCGTACCAGCCGTGGCTACACTGGTCACGAAACGTTCCGAGGTTAGCGATCCAGCCAGACGAGGCTAACCGGAACGCTGTCCGAGCTAGTTATCACACACGTTTACACAATTCTGCAACTGTTTTTTAAATTCTGGAATGACCAGAATGAGCGTATTCCGGCCTTGTAAACGAACGACTGGAATTCACAACGCATTTTATTCATGTCATGTCAAAAACGAAATAATTGATGAATCGCAAAAAGAGATCACGTACACCCTCGCGATCGATCGCGCGCACGAGGACTAGCATCACGCACACGCCGGCCAGGGAGGCTCTTCGCGCGCTTGAGTCATGACAAAACCGGTAACCAGTGGTAACACACCGACAGTACAGTTCTGGCGCCAGAATTACAGAAATTCCGCCTTCTATAATTCTCTTCAGAATTGATGGATTCGACGGAATGGATAAAATCTAACGACGGAATTTGTCACTTTTTGTGTAATCGACAATAACTAATTCTAGAAATGCCGAAATGCGTGTAATCGAAAGCGACCGTAAACTACGTTTTAGTTGATGTGAGTGCATGGTAGAGGGGACGGTTTCAAATAGGACACAGGTTGCAAACCGGAACGGACTCAATATTCACTTTCTCTCTTGGTATTTTGATTCGAAAACATAATTATGTCACAGTGAGACTACGATGTGTTATACTCCGAGCCAAAATTTCATGGCTCTGCGATGACCAGAAGCGCCATATCAAGCAGGTGAGTTTTTGACGTGTTGCTTCGCACTGCGACTTGAGTTTTACGACTTTCGAAAAATCATTTTCTTGTCGCAGGTAAACAGCGGCTCGCCTCTCGCCAATAAAGCACCGCATACCAATCAAAACTAATGGAAGCACCCACAAGGCTTATTGTTACTCTGTACTGGCCGTCGTGGAGCGATAGCAATTACCTAATTTCAGACCCAGAGTGAATTTGACGTGCACTCTAAAACGTGTCCGGTTTGGAGCCACCTCTGATTTGAACTTTTTTGAAGCGAAAAATTGGGCAACTTGGAGGCAATGGGTCAACACAAAGGAGTGGCTCAGTTCTGGCCCCAGAGTTACTTCAACATGCCAGTTTCCTTCCACAAACATATTATATAATATTTCCAGTGAAAAATCAACGCTGATGAGTGATGGTCGGTTTGGGTCTTACACAAATTATTTGGCTGTCAAAGCGTCCCGGTATCGAGCCGTCCCCTCTGGCTCTTCATGGTGTGACCGCTTGACAGTGACCATGGTGACACATCGCCATGCGCCACCGTACTGGCAATCATAATAGTCTGGCATACAACTCGGCGCTCGGGTGCACGCGATGCTGTCATAATAATCTGTGTAGACTAGGTATGTAGTAGTACTAGTAGTAGTAGTACCGGTAGTAGGCTAGACTAGCCAGCGCTCTGTACATGTACCTGTCTACTCGTACGATCGTGGAGTCGTGCGTTGAGGCCAAACATTTTTGAATCTGCTTGATGACAGAACTACAGCAATCATGCCCGTGCCATGGTCATAATCGAATGTTTGAAAGACGGTGAAGAGAACAAGTAATAGTGGTCTCGGTGTCCTAATCATTGAGACATTTGCTCCGGGAATATTCAGAGTTTCTATAGAACACTCAGTGGTACATGGTGTTCATATCGCTCAGGCCAGGTTCCAGTGTGGCAATCCTTGCGCTCAGGCCAGGTTCCAGTGTGGCAATCCTTGCGCTCAGGCCAGGTACCAGTGTGGCAATCCTTGCGCTCAGGCCAGGTTCCAGTGTGGCAATCCTTGCGCTCAGGCCAGGTTCCAGTGTGGCAGTCCTTGCGCTCAGGCCAGGTTAGAGTGTGGCAATCCTTGCGCTCAGGCCAGGTTAGAGTGTGGCAGCTTGGAACTTAGCTGTGTGTATCGTGAGTAGTTCCACTCGCCACCAGACCATTGGACATTCTTGCCGGCGCTTTGTTCCAGTCGTCAGCAGTTCACCGGGTAATATGGAAGGTGAACGCTACGCTTTCCTCGTGGAGTGGTATGATTCGCTAGCGGGCATAGTGCGACGCTACAACTTCCTCTTCTATCCTAAAGATAACAGCGTGGAAATGGTGAGTTGCTCACTTGGTGGCACAATCGAGTGTACATGTACATAACCTCGGTACTCTGTGACCCTTGGTTATACAAATGCATGCTAGTGCATTTTCTGTTTGCGTTATCCAGAGCTCACTGACTTGTCAGTTTGAGCACTCTCATGTGGGGTAGTGCATTTTCTGTTTGCGTTATCCAGAGCTCACTGACTTGTCAGTTTGAGCACTCTCATGTGGGGTAGTGCATTTTCTGTTTGCGTTATCCAGAGCTCACTGACTTGTAAGTTTGAGCACTCTCATGTGGGGTAGTGCATTTTCTGTTTGCGTTGTTCACAGCTCACTGAGCACTCTGGCAAGGTACGCTCGGGCCTCTGGCTTTGGAGACAAAATTTCATTGCTATCAGGATAAACGCAGAAAAGACTCCTATTGTGTACGTAGCTACCCAGATTTCACTTGTGTCCAGTGAAGCTTACTCTTAGCCAGTATTGGTACATAGCTATGATGGTCACGGGTTGACTGGTTATTTCTTACATGCAGATGTACATGTATATAAAAAACTTACCATCTCCAAAGCAGCAGCAGGGATCTGGAGTGGGAAATAATACCAAGCTACAAAGGAGAGAGTGACAGCAACCATGCCAGGGACAAAGAATTGGGCGTCATGAATATTTGCGCCAGGCCTCGTTACATGGCCCCTGCACCTCATACACACACATACACACGCGCGCACACAAACACACACGCACGCGCGCGCGCGCGCACACACACACACTGTTCATTGCGCTCGAACGGTGGCGCTACTTCATTCATGAGGTCGATCTGATGCCCCTACCGCCGTACCGGGCCCTGAGCTAGCCCTGTCAGAACTGTACGTGCGCGTGCGTTACTTGTCAGTCAGGGCGAGATACGTGTAGTGCAGGGGATTCAAGGGATTTCCCCGTGTCCGCACCCGCAAGGACCAGTGCTATACATTTACCCGCTACTGTGCTAGTGCTACATGTAGTAGTAGTAGACTAGTAGTACGGTCCAGGTGATACATACCGGTAATCGTATTGTATGTCTGCGCTACAATCGAAATACGAGAGTCGATAGAAACTTGCCGAGACTACAAGTTTCGATTCCTAATAGAGCATTTTCGATACAATTGTGTCCGTATCAGTGAAAGTCGATGCGTTCCTGGAAATGCGAACGGATTGAGTTTCATGTTCTCTTTTCTGCAGCAGAATATTTCAGTGGCTTTTCAGAACTTCATTCTAGTGGCGACAGTTTGCCTTTGCTGTAGTGTATGGCAAGAACCCAGAACACATGTTTATTGCAGATCTACTGCAGGGCTTGTTCCGCGGGTTTAGTGCAGATCTACTGCAGGGCTTGTTCCTCGGGTTTATTGCAGATCTACTGCAGGGCTTGTTCCTCGGGTTTATTGCAGATCTACTGCAGGGCTTGTTCCTCGGGTTTATTGCAGATCTACTGCAGGGCTTGTTCCTCGGGTTTATTGCAGATCTACTGCAGGGCTTGTTCCGCTGCCACTCCTGATATACAGTCAGTTCTGTGACTGTTGGAGAGCCAGAGAGACCAAGCTTCAAGAGAGGACATGAGATGATCATGATGATGGTACACAGAACACGGATTGTCAAGTGCACCGTGCAGTGAAGTCACTCCACAACACGGTAAGAAACGAAGGGTGTACGTGTCAACGCTCACAGCCATGCGCTGGCTGCTCAGTAATCTGGCAATGCTAGAACGAGGAAACGTTGAAAGAAAATTCTGTTTGAAGATAGCGGTTGGACTATGTACAAGATTAGTACAACTGGACAGATAATTCGCCCAGGTAGACCTACCCAGGTACCCAGGTACCCAGGAACTGTGTACCAGTCAAACTTCGTATCTGAACACATTTTACAAGGAAACGTGAATGTTACACTGTAATCACATAACTGCATGACTTGAATGCCCCTCGATACAGATTGAGAACCAAACAGAGAGGGGGGGGGGGGGGGGGGAGGAGAGCTGGTCTCCGCAAAACGGAGCACTGAAATCCGTGTTGAAATAAAGTGATGAAACAATAGGGAAATGAATTGAAACAGAACATGCACTGCATCATACAAAACCTACTAGTATGCTACAGTTGCTGTGTTCACTGAAATACGACCCAAAGTACAAAGCTGGCGGCCTGGAGCAGTTCCTATCCCAGTTTACATCATTGCATCTGCACATGTACTGTATCTTTACATGTGTACCTCCAGCCACATTCCTGCCACTTCCAGGCAACCAAGGCTGGTGAAGGTGTACGTCCAGCCACATTCGTGCCACTTCCAGGCAACCAAGGCCGGTGCAGGTGTACGTCCAGCCACATTCGTGCCACTTCCAGGCAACCAAGGCTGATGCAGGTGTACGTCCAGCTGCATTCGTGCCAGGGGGGGGGGGGGGAGATCTCCCACTAGGATAACCCACGGGTCCCCTGCTTACAATCCGCAGCCACGCCACCGGGCCAGTGTGTTCCGGGAACCGGGCCGCTGTTCAGCGACCCGGCGCAGCACGCATACCCCGCAGCTTGGCCGCCGTACCATCCTGCCTGTTTAGAAAACATGCGCATGTGCGGACGTATGCGTGTGTGCGTTTGTGTTGCATACGCTTGTGCCTGTGTCCTCCTAGGCTCGCTAGCCGCCGCTCTCTCAGCGAGAGCAGAGCACCTGATTGCCAACTCGGTAGCCACTGGCACACAGCACACGTACGCCCCGGGCTGGCGTTCATTCCTGGAGTTCATGGGTCGCATGCGCCGCGACGCATATCACCCAGATCAGAACGATGTCCTACTGTTCGCTGCCGCAATGTCTCACTAAGTCAGCGCCAGCACTCTGAGAGTCTACCTGGCCGCGATCAAATACCACCTCCTCCGCATGGGAGGCCCGGTCGGGGCTACACCCTCAAGCCCTGCTCAAGGGCTTAGAGAGGGAGATAACGTCGCTTCCCAGACATCCGTCAGCACGCCCTCAGTGCCAAGCGATCACCGTCCACCAGCTGAAGGTTCTCCGCCAGTTCTTGGATCTGTCCTTGTACTCCGCGGTAGACAGACTAATAATATGGGCTGCTCTTACGACAGCCTTCCACGGCCTGCTGCTGCGTGTGAGTGAGTACACGTCGCTGTCACCACACGGTCCCGGCAGCCTCAATACGCTGAGGCGCGAACACCTCCGGTTAGCCCAGCAGGAGGCCTCGCTGCAGCTCCAGAGGACGAAGACGTCTCAATTAACAGCAGGCGGGGAGGTAGCGCTGCATCGCTACGCTGACCCCGCACTATGTCCCGTCCGAGCCCTGCAGGCTTACGTTCGGTCCAGCAAATGGAGCAATGACAAGCAACCCCTATTCAAGTTTCAGGATGGTCGCCATCTCACGCCGAACGACATCAATGATGTCCTACACAAAGTGCTAGGTCCAAGCATCAGCAGCCATTCCTTACGCACCGGGGGAGCCACACACATGGTGGATTGAGGCGCACCAGAGTATGCCCTGATGGCTGCAGGCTGCTGGTCCAGCAGGGCATATCGCACGTACATTCTCAGGCCCGCAGGCATGCCACAGCACTACTAGAGCCTGCGTGTCGCAAGCCATTCGGTACCTTAATTGGAGGCACGGGTGCTGTCGATGGGCGCTGCATAGTGCACGCACATCGGCACCATTGAACTATTCATTTTTACTAAGATTTAGTGTTCCGCTGCCATAGCAACCTAGTAGTACACGTAGCCGCTCTGACGGCGCAGGACCCCGCGGGTCGCTTCTGCTGTCCTTGCCTCTCTGATGTGTGATATGTGTACATCATTTATAATCATAACCTCATACTGAGTACATGTACGTCATACTTGATTACCGATCACAGGCTCATGAATATTCACGCTGGAATAAACGCTTGCGACACCCCACAGGCTCGTCTCTGTTGTGTGGCATGATGGTTAACTGTCACTTGTCACGTGTCACTTGCAACTGAGTACCTAGACCTACAACTAACCTACAAGTACAAGTAGTACTGTTCAGTGGTCATGTACATGTGAATTCTGTACTAACTCTTACAGTTCTAGTCCATGTCAGCTCACAGCCTCACAGGCACAGCGTACCAGGGCTAGGGACTTCCCCTATCTAGCCCTGCTACATTTGTATGTGTTTAGCTCCTCCACTGCACACGTACAATGTCTACGATAGTCATGCAGTCTGTCATCACGTGATCACTACAATCATGCAGCACCTGCTTGGCATTATGGATCACCAGTGTGATTCGCCGCTAGCGCGCTGCAATCTGGAGACAGAGATATTTTTTTTAGTGAGTGCACCTTCAGTATTTGTTGACACCAAGAGTCAATGACTGTCACATGACAAATCCGAAGTGGCATGTGTGCACAGCCACACGGCTGTTACGACACTCGACAGTACAAAACGGGCCCACTTGGTTCTTGTACAGGAGATAGCTAGCCAGTGCTCGCTGGGTCGCTGCCGTTACGATCACGTGAGTCAAGCAGTTCGCGTACTGCACAAGTTCACATGTCTCGCGCCACGGACCTTGCCGTGCTGGGCAATGATATTTTTTTACAGGGGGGAGGAATGGTCGGATACACAGCCTTCTTTACTAGTAAAATAAGAACAACGAATGTAGTGGAGGATACACACAGTGTGCTGACAGTGATCCACACGGCGAAGTCAGAGTGTAATACTAATACTGTAATAGAGGACAAGAGAGGCAATCACGGCTTGTTTGCTGATACATGTACAGGTACATGTAGTTAAAGTTTATTCATTTGCTTTCACTATCATCAGGCAACGCTGCCTGTTGATAGTGAAAACAAATGAATAGGCGACGAGGAAACAATAACTTTATAAAGGCGATAAATAGTAAAAGCAAAGCGGACATTACGAAATGATCAATGAAAATACATGTACACTGGTCCGTCTATAATCCGGCACCATTTGTGCCACGAAAATCTGCTGGATTAGGGAGGGTGCTGGATTAACAAATCTGATTTACTGTTGCAATGTGCATGAAGAGGACATTTTGGTTACTGAAAATTGTGCTGGTTTATCGAGGGTGCTGGATTATAAAGTGCCGGATTAGAGAGGGACGACTGTACATGTATGTAACAAAAGAGAGAGATTGTAAGATTTGTTACAACTCTGAGTTTCACGTATTACTACCATCATCAGACAACTGATGGATCCAACACGGGCAGACAGAACATAAGGGGAAGCAAGGTGGGAAATTCTGAGGGGTATCATAGGCGACGCGTATCATAGCGCAAGAGTCAGGTGCAGGCGTGAAGTTGCCAAGTCTTCAGACTTGGGGCTATGCAGCAGCAGTTCCGGCGCGAATGAGAATAGAGCTGGGGACTTTTAAAATGCCAAATCCACACAAGCCCACACCATTACACACACATACACCCACACTCTCTCCCTTTTCTCACATACACATACACTCGCAGGCGCATACACGCACGCACACACATACACACATTCTCCACATACTCAATCTGCGGACAGAACTGTTTCGTCCTTTGTGGACTCGTCAGCGCAGTACAGAGGAAATGAGGCCGAACCTGATAGCAATGGAAATAAAAAATTCCGTTCAGGCCCGAACGTGCCTTGCCAGAGTGCTCAAACTGACAAGTCAGTGAGCTCTGCATAACGCAAACAGCAAAGGCACTACCCCACGCAAGAGTGCTCAACTGCTACAAGAGCAGGAGCGAAATACTCAATCTGCGGACAGAACTGTTTCGTTCTTTGTGGACTCGTCAGCGCAGCACAGAGGAAATGAGGCCGAACCTGATAGCAATGGAAATAAAAGTTTCCAATCAGGCCCGAACGTACCTTGCCAGAGTGCTCAAACTGACTAGTCAGTGAGCCCTTGCCAGAGTGCTCAAACTGACTAGTCAGTGAGCCCTTGCCAGAGTGCTCAAACTGACTAGTCAGTGAGCTCTGCATAACGCAACAGCAAGCACATTCTCTTTATATATATCTCTCTCACATACACACACACACGCACGCACACATGCATTCTCTAAATCCCCCCTCAGACCTCAGATCTGCCCATCGCGGAAGCGATGATAGCGAACAGCTATGTTAGACATAGCAACTTGTGCTGGGATTACACCATTAAACAGCTTGCAAGGCTGATGAATTGACCGCCACTATTTTTAGCCTGGTATCCACCACACAGCTGATTGGAGTGACTTTTTCTGGCCAGTGAATCCCTATTTTTTTCATTTTTCCACCCCCCAGACGCACACACATTCTCTAAATCTCACACACCCTGTACCCAAACACACACACACACACACACACACACACACACACACACACACACACACACACACTCATTCTCTAAATCTCACACACACCTTCTCTTTCTCTCTCTCTCTCTCTCTCTCTCTCTCTCTCTCTCACACACACACACACCATGTAACCATGTATACGCCCGTCGCAAGAGAAGCATGCAAATCTGCAAATGCCCTGGATGTGCACCCACAGATTTTCTCTTATAGCAACGATAGCGAACAAGATCTGAATTGCACAGATCAATAAATGCGCCATATAACTGTCTAATGGACCGTATGCGTGTTAAAACAAAATGGCGTCACGATTTATTGAAAGTGGTATAGTTGGTGGTACGAGTGTTCAAAACCATTTGAACTTCATACTGTTCGTCTTCTTTTTGACATTCTCTCTTTCCATCGTCCTTAGCTTTTGTTTGTTGTGAGCTGTTTTGGCTTTATCCTATACCTCTGGGGGATGCCAAGTGATGGTTTTGAGAGGCTGGTGATGGCTGCGAGCGAGAGTTTGCCGATCGCCATCGTCCTCGCTATAGCGATGAAAATACTAGTTACTGCGCACCTGGCAGATATCACAACACGTCGGAGCGTCCAGGAGCAAAGGAATCTTGGGTTTTCACTGGAATCTAGTTCCTCCAGCATCGTATAGCCCACCATCGATGGATGACCGTCCAGAAACGTTGAACCTGGTCTTCTGCAGCATCTCGCAGTCCCATTCAACAGCTTCCAAGGCTGAAGAATTGGCCACCACTATCCAGCCTGGTCTACACCACACAGCTATGAAGTGGCTTTTTCTGGCCAGTGAATCCCTGCTTTTTGGTCTTTTTATTTTTATTTATTCACACGCACACTCACACACACACACACACACACACACACACACACACACACACACACACACACACACACATACACACACACACACACACACACACACACAAACACACATACACACACACCTGGTCCTGGTCCTGGTAAACACTGCCATTACGGTCACGTGTCCCCTTACGGAGCCGACAATATAGAACGACGAGCGGGACCATGTTCGAGAGAGCCATCTCCAGCAGCTATGGATCTGGCTTATCATCGGAAACGATTCCTCTCACGGCTGCCGCTAGAACTGGTCCATCACTCTCCACAACAGAGCGAACATTCCATGAGCCAACGCTCAGAGTCGTTCCAAGTCGTCGTCTTCGTGCGGTAGTTTGCTCCACTCGCGGGCTTGCACACACACACACACACACACACACACACACACACACACACACACACACACACACACACACACACCTTGGTAACACTGCCATCAAATGGTCACGTGTCCCCTGTGCAGGGGTCGACAGCACTGAGTTCAGCATTGGACCCAGAAACGCCGCTCTACTTCCTGGACAGGAAATTAGCACAGCTATGCAGGTCGAAACCACGGGATGACTTGCAGCAGCGACCGCAGCCGAGACAATGCGCTCTGCAGCAGGGCAGGGCAACCCGCTGTTTCCGGACCGCGTCTGTGTATGTATGTGTGTTTTGTGTGCATGTCTGTGTGCGAGTGTATGCATGTGTGTTTTGTGTGTGTCTGTGCGTGTGTGTGTGTGTGTGTGTGTGTGTGTGTGTGTGTGTGTCTGTATGTCGGTGTGTGTTTGTCTGCTTTCCTATTGTGCCACTCGGCAGGAGATGGTATCTGAGTTGTGCTCAGGAGCATGCGTTGCCATGGCATTAACTCATCAACATGGCGATGCTTGTGTAGAGCAGTTCAGACAGTTTGTTGGACCAGCAGATCCAGTAAGATCAACATTCGCCACTAACCATGTACTACTCCCTAGCTGGTGGTATGCTGTTGTTGTTTGGGCTAGGGTTCGAATCATCATGCTGTTCACTGCACTGACCTAGCTGATGACGGTATGCAGGAGGTGAGTGGAGCTCTATCTCATGCTGGTATGGTGTCCTGCAGGTATGGTGTCATGCTGGTATGGTGTCATGCTGGTATGGTGTCATGCTGGTCTCGTGTCATGCTGGTATGGTCTGGTCAAGGCTTTCCCCAAATCGGCCGGCCGCAAAATTCTCCGTAAACAAGACTTACCGAAAAATGTATAAGGTTTTAGCCGATTTTGGAGGGTTCCTTTGAGAATCGCCGAAAATCTTCCAAATGTTGTTGCAAAGTGAGTTTACGAACGAATGATATTGCTGCAAGCATGACCGCTCGAGCTCTCTATGGCAGTACTTGTAAACTAGTGCGTTGAGGTCGTGTGACTCGTGTCCTTTGAACTCCTCCCAAACAAACAACAGCCATTAGGAAGATCATTACTAGTAAAAAAACTAGAATTTCTTTTCCCCAGTGTCTCACCACTCTTGTAGCCAGTATGCCCACAATTCTTCTGGCCGATTTTCCAAAATATTCCAATTTTGTAGCCGATTTTCGAACAATCGGCTGATTTTCAGCCGAATCTGATGTATTTTTGAACCAAGCGAACAGCCAAATAGGCGAACAATAACCGGGCCGATTTGGGGAAAGCCTAGTCTGGTCTTATGCTGGTCTGATCTCATTCCGGTCTGGTCTCATTCCGGTCTGGTCTCATTCCGGTCTGGTCTCATTCCGGTCTGGTCTCATTCCGGTCTGGTCTTATTCTGTTCTGATCTCATTCCAGTCTGGTCTCATTCCGGTCTGGTCTTATTCTGGTCTGATCTCATTCCGGTCTGGTCTTATTCTGGTCTGGTCTTATTCCGGTCTGGTCTCATTCCGGTCTGATCTCATTCTGGTCTGGTCTCATTCCGGTCTGATCTTATTCTGTTCTGGTCTCATTCCGGTCTGGTCTCATTCCGGTCTGGTCTCATTCCGGTCTGGTCTCATTCCGGTCTGGTCTTATTCCGGCCTGATCTCATTCCGGTCTGGTCTCATTCCGGTCTGGTCTCATTCCGGTCTGGTCTCATTCCGGTCTGGTCTCATTCCTGTCTGGTCTCATTCCTGTCTGGTCTCATTCCGGTCCGGTCTCATTCCGGTCTGGTCTTATTCTGGTCTGTTCTCATTCCGGTCTGGTCTTATTTGGGGTCTGGTCTTATTCCGGTCCGGTCTCATTCCGGTCTGGTCTCATTCCGGTCTGGTCTCATTTCGGTCTGGTCTTATTCTGGTCTGGTCTTATTCCGGTCTGGTCTCATTCCGGTCTGGTCTTATTCTCGTCTGGTCTTATTCCGGTCTGGTCTCAATCCGGTCTGGTCTCATCCCGGTCTGGTCTCATTCCGGTCTGGTCTCAATCCGGTCTGGTCTCATCCCGGTCTGGTCTCATTCCGGTTTGGTCTCATTCCGGTCTGGTCTTATTCCGGTCTAGTCTCATTCTGGTCTGGTCTTATTCTGGTCTGGTCTTATTCTGGTCTAGTCGTATTCCGGTCTGGTCTTATTCTGGTCTGGTCTTATTCTGGTCTGGTCTTATTCCGGTCTGGTCTCAATCCGGTCTGGTCTCATCTCGGTCTGGTCTCATTCCGGTCTGGTCTCAATCCGGTCTGGTCTCATCCCGGTCTGGTCTCATTCCGGTCTGGTCTCATTCCGGTCTGGTCTCATTCCGTTCTGGTCTTATTCCGGTCTAGTCTCATTCTGGTCTGGTCTTATTCTGGTCTGGTCTTTTTCTGGTCTGGTCGTATTAGGGTCTGGTCTTATTCTGGTCTGGTCTTATTCTGGTCTGGTCTTATTCTGGTCTGGTCTTATTCTGGTCTGGTCTCATTCCGGTGTGGTCTCATTCCGGTCTGGTCTCATTCTGGTCTGATCTAATTCCGGTCTGGTCTCATTCTGGTCTGGTCTTATTCCGGTCTGGTCTTATTCTGGTCTGGTCTTAGGTTGCGTTTGTTCGGTGTCATTCCAACACCATTCCAAAGTCATTCCGCTGTGCTTTGGTTGCGGTGCGTTTGTTTGATGCACCGGACAGCGTTTGTTCCGTGCAATTCCGATTCCGGTCGCGGAATGAAGGGGGCAGAATCGATTCTGGCGATTCCAAAGAAAAAAGTGGAATGAGTGCTCATTCCGAGCGGATTGAAAATATGTGGCGGCCACTGGGGGCTGTCACTATTGCATATCTCCGCCAACAAAACCTCAAACGCGATTGTCGACAGACGGAATGTTGCCGAAAATCGTCCAGGGTGTAGGCTGGTACTGTAACCTCGGGATAGTTACCGCTACTGGTTTGTGGCATTTTTTACCCTTCGCTGCCTGAGACAGCGTTCGGTCAGGACAAGAACTGGATTGATGCCCTCGCACCTCTTCTCCTCATCGTCGAGCAGGGCCTCCAGAATCACTCGGTTAGGGAGGCAGTCCCACCAATGCATATCACATAATCACCCACACAGGCACTGAACCTGCCACTCGACTTAATCTTACAACCGCACCTCCGTCAAACAAGCGCTTCCAATCCGTGAAGAGCTAGAGCCGTTTTGACTGATGCGAGGTCGAATACGGAATAGTCATGATGAAGTAGCGGCCAAACGTCGCGTACAGGCGTGTACCCTAGTGGAGCTCGTAGGCCTATGCCGAGTTTGGCCGCTCCTTCACCATGATCGTCGTAGGGGCATGCAGAACTAGAAACGTACGGAAGCAAGATAGCAACCACAACATTCTTAGGCTACCACCTTATCTTTGAAAGGCTGCAAAAAACAACTCGTAGATCTCAAAAACAAAACATTCGACCGCCGTTTGCGGAGTCTCGCAAAACGTTTGCCAGATTCCCGAGTGCATGCACGCACAATTATTTGCTACTCTCATTCCATGCTCATTCCGGAATGACCGAACAAATACAACCTTATTCTGGTCTGGTCTCATTCTGGTTTTGGTCTTATTCCGGTTTTGGTCTCACTCCGGCTTTGGTCCTATTCTGGTCTGGTCTCATTCTCACGCTAATCTTGGAGTTCATAGGGAATGTCAGTGAGGAACGTTTAGGAACAGAACATATGTCCTATTCCCATAACTCCTTTCGATATTTTGTCTGCCTATCTACACAAACCCTTTGTCTGCGGTGTGGGTCTACCCCTGAGAATGCTGCAATGTTCAGATGTGCCTGTATATGCGGAAGCTGCATCTGCATTTCTCACACAATCTCTCTTAGGGCCCGGTCCCACATGCACTTGAGAGTTGCGGATTCGCTGCAGCGGTGTCGCAACAGCGTGTATCACCATGGAAACTGCGAGTAGCGGAACTTCCGCCATGGCGGAAAGTTTAAATCCGCTACTCCAAAATTTTTGGAGCATATACTCTCCTGCGGAAGTTCCGCTCCTGCGACACTCGGCCATAGTGAGCGATTTGTGTTGTTCGATTTAATTTTTCGGTCATGAAGTGGACACTTGGACTTGAGTCAGAGCAGCTACGGCTGCAGTTGTACACGTCATGTATGTTGAGGTCGAGACTCGTTTGACCAAGGGATGAAGAGAGATACGGAGCGGTATAGGTGGATAGCCGAGAAGCTGATGCTGAAACCGACGGCTGCGGCGTCGGCCAAAGACCAAATCGCGGGCCCGTGAGCAGCCAAGCATGGCCATCATGTAAAACCACGCAGGGGGACCACTGTGATGTAGGTCTGGCAAGAGCAATTCTAGTATCTATAGCAGGTATCGTCGATGTGCTGTTCAACAAGTTCGTACTAGTATTCAGCAACGACAATGTCGCTGCGTTCTCCATAGCCTTGTGACAACGTCTCGCCAGTCGACCTCTACCCAACGGAAAATCCATTCTTTCAGATTATACAGAACAAAGACTCAAAGTCAACAATACTGAACCCACGACATGTAGCTAATGGTAATGCTTGATACTCAACTGAACAAAAACAACGATCTGTCCAACACCTAGCATCTACATCATCAGTACATCAGTGCTGCGTTGATGTGTCCACAAAGGACGAAACAGTTCTGTCCACAGACACAGTACTGTACTGAGTGACTGTACAGACTCAGTATCAGTATACAGTACGTGCACGCGTACTTCCAAGTGAAAGCATGCTTGGGTTGCAGGAGAGCTGCACTGAATATTTTGGAAGTCAGAGAGGCGCGCTTGCTTCGTTCGCCGTGCACGCGTGATCATGGGAGACCACGCGAGCATTTTGTCGCAGGAGAGGTGCGACACCACTCCCGCAAAACCTTGTCGCACCAGCGGATCCGCCACTGCATGTGGGACCGGGCCCTTATGGTATTCTGTCTTAACTCTCCTTCCCGTCGAGAATGGAATTGTTCCTGTTGCACACTCGGTAGAGCATGCTTGTCTTAATCTCATGGTCGTGGATCTGAGGACCATGTTGTCGTTGCTCTTGTACAACTGCTTCTTTCGCTGCTCTCCGACTCACAATCCAAGCAGCAGTTGTGACTGTTCGGAGACTTCAGAAAGAGAGCTAAGATGACGAAGGAATGAAATGTACAAAGTGCCCTGGGGTGCATTGCTAGACATTGTGTGTGCTCTTGCATGTGCGTGTGTGTGTGCGTGTGTGTGTGTGTGTGTGTGTGTGCACGCACGCACGTGCGTATGTGTGTGCGTGTGTATGTGTGTGTGTATGGGTGTGTTCGTGCATGTGTGTATGTGTGTGCGTCCTGTGATCGCGGGTTCCATATTTTCCTCTACTAAATTCATTCCTCTAGGTTGAGTACTTCTTCAAGATTCTCCGGTAACTACGGAAACAGACAAGACTTCAGTGAAGGTTACAGTGCATCCTGAGTAATCGGCGTCACAATGCATTTTCGTTGATGTGTCTTCTGTAACCGCTGGAATGAACATTCAGCCACCGTTGCAGCAATGTGTTGAGAGATGCAAAGGCGAGGTTTGATGAGCTGATTTCGATGTGATATTAATCCTGAAACATAATGCAATGCCATAGTAAATGACTGTCGTTGAATTCATTCCTTTTCGCTTTCATTATAAGAACGGAATTTATCTGTCTGTTTGAACCACACATATACTATGCATCGTGGTGTCTGCGGGCTCTGTGATGTCATGATGTTATGGTGTCATGATGTCATGTTTTGATGTCATGATGTTATGATGTCATGATGTTATGGTGTCATGATGTTATGATGTCATGATGTTATGATGTCATGATGTCATGATGTTACGGTGCCATGATGTTATGATACCATGATGTCATGATGTTATGATGTCATGATGTTACGGTGTCATGATGTCATGATAGATCATCTTTGTCTTACGTGAGTACAAAATGGCAATCATGTGCAGGCTCTGTGCATTCGTTGTGAGTTATCTGATCCAGCTGCAGGGTGTGCATTTGTGTTTGTTACAGTGTTACACACTGCATGTATAGCATGTATGCTGCAGTTGATAGTTTTGTATTGATAGTACACATTATCATGACATCGTATAGTTCTCATCCTATCTTCAATGTAGCTAGTAGTAATAATAATTGTAGTAGAATTTGAGTATTTCGCTCCTGCTCTTGTAGCAGTTCAGCACTCTCGTGTGGGGTAGTGCATTTTCTGTTTGCGTTATCCAGAGCTCACTGACTTGTCAGTTTGAGCACTCTCATGTGGGGTAGTGCATTTTCTGTTTGCGTTATCCAGAGCTCACTGACTTGTCAGTTTGAGCACTCTCATGTGGGGTAGTGCATTTTCTGTTTGCGTTATCCAGAGCTCACTGACTTGTCAGTTTGAGCACTCTCATGTGGGGTAGTGCATTTTCTGTTTGCGTTATCCAGAGCTCACTGACTTGTCAGTTTGAGCACTCTCATGTGGGGTAGTGCATTTTCTGTTTGCGTTATCCAGAGCTCACTGACTTGTCAGTTTGAGCACTCTCATGTGGGGTAGTGCATTTTCTGTTTGCGTTATCCAGAGCTCACTGAGCAATCTGGCAAGGTACGCTCGGGCCTCTGGCTTTGGAAAAAAAATCATTGCTATCAGGATAAACGCAGAAAAGACTCCTATTGTGTACGTAGCTACCCAGATTTCACTTGTGTCCAGTGCAGCTTGCTCTTAGCCAGTATTGGTACATAGCTATGATGGTCGTTGACTGGTTCTTTCTTACATGCAGATGTACATGTATATAAAAAAACTTACCATCTCCAAAGCAGCAGCAGAGATATGGAGTGGGAAATAATACCAAGCTACAAAGGAGAGAGTGACAACAACCATGCCAGGGACAAAGAATTGGGCGTCATGAATATTTGCGCCAGGCCTCGTTACATGGCCCCTGCACCTCATACACACACATACACACGCGCGCACACAAACACACACGCACGCGCGCGCGCGCACACACACACACCCTGTTCATTGCGCTCGAACGGTGGCGCTACTTCATTCATGAGGTCGATCTGATGCCCCTACCGCCGTACCGGGCCCTGAGCTAGCCCTGTCAGAACTGTACGTGCGCGTGCGTTACTTGTCAGTCAGGGCGGGATACGTGCAGGGGATTCAAGGGATTTCCCCGTGTCCGCACCCGCAAGGACCAGTGCTGTACATTTACCTGCTACTGTGCTACATCATGTAGTAGTAGACTAGTACTAGTAGGGTCCGTGATACATACGGGTAATCGTATTGTATGTCTGCGCTGGAATCGAAATACGAGAGTCGATAGAAACTAACTTGCCGAGACTACAAGTTTCGATTCCTTATAGAGCATTTTCGATACAATTGTGTCCGTATCAGTGAAAGTCGATGCGTTCCTGGAAATGCGAACGGATTGAGTTTCATGTTCTCTTTTCTGCAGCAGAATATTTCAGTGGCTTTTCAGAACTTCATTCTAGTGGCGACAGTTTGCCTTTGCTGTAGTGTATGGCAAGAACCCAGAACACAGTCATGTTTATTGCAGATCTACTGCAGGGCTTGTTCCGCGGGTTTAGTGCAGATCTACTGCAGGGCTTGTTCCTCGGGTTTATTGCAAATCTACTGCAGGGCTTGTTCCTCGGGTTTATTGCAGATCTACTGCAGGGCTTGTTCCGCGGGTTTATTGCAGATCTACTGCAGGGCTTGTTCCGCTGCCACTGCTGATATACAGTCAGTTCTGTGACTGTTGGAGAGCCAGAGAGACCAAGCTTCAAGAGAGGACATGAGATGATCATGATGATGGTACACAGAACACGGATTGTCAAGTGCACCGTGCAGTGAAGTCACTCCACAACACGGTAAGAAACGAAGGGTGTACGTGTCAACGCTCACAGCCATGCGCTGGCTGCTCAGTAATCTGGCAATGCTAGAACGAAGAAACGTTGAAAGAAAATTCTGTTTGAAGATAGCGGTTGGACTATGTACAAGATTAGTACAACTGGACAGATAATTCGCCCAGGTAGACCTACCCAGGTACCCAGGTACCCAGGTACCCAGGAACCCAGGAACTGTGTACCAGTCAAACTTCGTATCTGAACACATTTTACAAGGAAACGTGAATGTTACACTGTAATCACATAACTGCATGACTTGAATGCCCCTCGATACAGATTGAGAACAGAGAGAGGGGGGGGGGGGGGGGGAGGAGAGCTGGTCTCCGCAAAACGGAGCACTTAAATCCGTGTTGAAATAAAGTGATGAAACAATAGGGAAATGAATTGAAACAGAACATGCACTGCATCATACAAAACCTACTAGTATGCTACAGTTGCTGTGCTCACTGAAATACGACCCAAAGTACAAAGCTGGCGGCCTGGAGCAGTTCCTATCACAGTTTACATCATTGCATCTGCACATGTACTGTATCTTTACATGTGTACGTCCAGCCACATTCGTGTCACTTCCAGGCAACCAAGGCCGGTGCAGGTGTACGTCCAGCCACATGCGTGCCACTTCCAGGCAACCAAGGCCGGTGCAGGTGTACGTCCAGCCAAATTCGTGCCACTTCCAGGCAACCAAGGCCGGTGCAGGTGTACGTCCAGCCACATTCGTGCCACTTCCAGGCAACCAAGGCTGGTGCAGGTGTACGTCCAGCCACATTCGTGCCACTTCCAGGCAACCAAGGCCGGTGCAGGTGTACGTCCAGCCAAATTCGTGCCACTTCCAGGCAACCAAGGCCGGTGCAGGTGTACGTCCAGCCACATTCGTGCCACTTCCAGGCAACCAAGGCTGGTGCAGGTGTACGTCCAGCCACATTCGTGCCACTTCCAGGCAACCAAGGCTGGTGCAGGTGTACGTCCAGCCACATTCGTACCACTTCCAGGCAACCAAGGCCGGTGCAGGTGTACGTCCAGCCAAATTCGTGCCACTTCCAGGCAACCAAGGCCGGTGCAGGTGTACGTCCAGCCACATTCGTGCCACTTCCAGGCAACCAAGGCCGGTGCAGGTGTACGTCCAGCCACATTCGTGCCACTTCCAGGCAACCAAGGCCGGTGCAGGTGTACGTCCAGCCACATTCGTGCCACTTCCAGGCAACCAAGGCCGGTGCAGGTGTACGTCCAGCCACATTCGTGCCACTTCCAGGCAACCAAGGCCGGTGCAGGTGTACGTCCAGCCACATTCGTGCCACTTCCAGGCAACCAAGGCCGGTGCAGTTGTACGTCCCGCCACATTCGTGCCACTTCCAGGCAACCAAGGCCGGTGCAGGTGTACGTCCAGCCACATTCGTGCCACTTCCAGGCAACCAAGGCCGGTGCAGGTGTACGTCCAGCCACATTCGTGCCACTTCCAGGCAACCAAGGCTGGTGCAGGTGTACGTCCAGCCACATTCATGCCACTTCCAGGCAACCAAGGCCAGCGGCAGGTGTACGTCCAGCAGCATTCTTGCCACTTCCAGGCAACCAAGGCCGGTGCAGGTGTACGTCCAGCCACATTCGTGCCACTTCCAGGCAACCAAGGCCGGTGCAGGTGTACGTCCAGCCACATTCGTGCCACTTCCAGGCAACCAAGGCCGGTGCAGTTGTACGTCCCGCCACATTCGTGCCACTTCCAGGCAACCAAGGCCGGTGCAGGTGTACGTCCAGCCACATTCGTGCCACTTCCAGGCAACCAAGGCCGGTGCAGGTGTACGTCCAGCCACATTCGTGCCACTTCCAGGCAACCAAGGCTGGTGCAGGTGTACGTCCAGCCACATTCATGCCACTTCCAGGCAACCAAGGCCAGCGGCAGGTGTACGTCCAGCAGCATTCTTGCCACTTCCAGGCAACCAAGGCCGGTGCAGGTGTACGTCCAGCCACATTCGTGCCACTTCCAGGCAACCAAGGCCGGTGCAGGTTGAGGGCACCAGCTTAGCACTTTGGGTCAGATTTCAGTTAAGCGCAACTGCACATGTATGTAGCATACGAGTACACCCGAGGTCGTGGCTTAATAATAATATAGGGAGACAACACTGGACACTGTAACGCTAAATCACGTACGTATCGACCACCGGGCTGCATGCCCGCTACTAATACATGCTTGCACATGACATTGCTTGTCTGTGCCCCGCTCTCTCATGAAGGCAGTGTGATAAACGTATTGGTTTATTCTAATAAATACTTTGTAGTAGTTTCCATCGAGGAGCGAGTGGAAAAGAACAACAAAACAAAGAACAGCACAACCGAATCAGCATGCTCAATGTGTAGTCATGCGAGCATGCCAAATACCAATGCATGACGTAAGCTAACGTAAACTGCGTACAATAAGACAGATGCACGCGGGTGGTTGCATATAGGATAGCGTACATAATAAAACAACACGCCCTTCCGAGATCATAATGGGTGAACAAGCCAGACTATGATCTTAACATAATAACTATGAAGATCCAAAAAAAAACATGAACAAGAGGCAAGGCAACGAGAACAGTCACAGTGTAGCACAGACTACAGAAGAAGAAAAACTAATCAAACATATGACTGTCCTTGGTGTGCAGAAATGTTCAAACGGACAGGTTGACGGCGGTTACGGGTGCTGCGACGGGGTGCAACAACAGGCTCAGTAGGTGCGGGAACAGCAGGTTCAGACGCACTATCAGTAGAAACGCGATCAGGCAGCAATGGGACATAAGGCCGTAGGAAGCGACGATTTCGCCAAAACACACGACCACTACGTAGCTTGACGTAATACTCTCAATGGGTACCAATGGCGACAACGATGCCTCGACCTGTCCACCGTTTGGTGCGCGGATCTTGCAGATCTACGTGCATGCCAATAGTGAGCTTAGACAACGTGCGCGGCTGAGACGAATCTGGATCCGGGACAGGTGGAGAATCAGAACTCTCTATACTGGTAGCACGCTGTTTCCACTCCGGGTGCAGTTGGAACAGAGCCGAGACCTTTCGTGCGGGATGCATCTGTTTCCAGACGTGTTTCCAGACCAGGTTGGTAATACGCCAGAATGGGGGGTTCGACCAGAGCATTCTTCACACGGTTGAACGCATCGGTGTGTGGTGTTTCCCACTGGAAAACAGCAGCCGTCTTCAGCAGACCACGAAGCGGTGTCGCCAGCTCGGCGATAGCAGGTGTAAACTCAGCAAGCTGATTTACGAGGCCCATGAACGATCGGAGGTCGGTCCGATTCGTCGGGGTGGAGAAGTCGCGGATAGCGGAGAGCTTAGCGTCATCGACAGTCCAACCGTCAGCATTCAGGATGTAGCCGCAGAACTCGATCTCGGTAGCAGCGAACACAAACTTCTTCGCGCTAAGGGTTACGCCGTGCTCGCGCGCACACAACAATACGCGCCGGACGCGTGCCACATGGTCACCAAGGTCATCATCATAGACGAGACAGTCGTCGACGACCTTTTTGAAATTGGTGATGTTGTCGAATGCCGTGCTCATACGGCGGTTATACTCGTCTCCGGCCGAGATGAGGCCCTGCGGATTGTGCAAGTACTGATACCGGCCCCATGGAGTGATAAACGTTGTCAATGGCCGCGCTGCTTCGCTGAGTGGCACTTGCCAGTAGCCATGGCGAGCATCGAGCTTCGTAAAGAAGCGACCGCTGACACTGGTGACGACATCATGAGGTGGCTGTGTCGGATGCGTGGGACGTTGGATCTGATCGTTCAGCTTCTTGAAGTCCACCGTTAGACGCTTCTCAGTGGTGCCCTTCTTGTCGACTATAACAATAGAGTGGCACCAGTCGAGGGGTTCAGAGACAGGCTCAATGATGCCATCCTTCACCATGTTGTCAAGCTGTTCCTTAATCTGGTCCCGAAACGCATAGGGCACTGGTCTAGCGTGATGAACACAGGAAGGTGTAGCGTCTGGTTCGAGCTGAATGTCCATTGACGGACCAGACATGGGCTTCAGACTGTCAGAGTCGAACACGTCAGAAAACTCCTCCAGCAGCTCAGTGCGAATCTGGTCGGCGGTGGGCTCAGGTGCTTGCTTGCGCTCAACTCGGCAAACAGAAGGCCAGTTGGGCGGCAGCAATCCGAGCGCACACAGGGATGTCCGAGTGAGCAAGGCATCCGACAGCTCGGAGTACACGTGTATGGTGGTGCGGTGAGTCTTGGAGCCTAGCCCAAGACTGGAACTGATCTGGCCAAAGGATACGAGAGGCTGACCGTTCACACCGGTGACAACGTCTGGGTCCTCCGCCAGGTTTTCTGGGAATCCACCCAGAAGGTCAAGATGACGAAGACCAATGGCGTCGACATCACTGCCGGTGTCCGGTATCCAGTTAATGGCTGCACCTGTCTCCTCCGTGTTGAGCGTAGTCGTCACAGACACGGTGCCTTGTTGCCCGGATGATGCTTGCTGGAGCTTCAGCTGGCCGATTTTGGAACCACGTGGCTGCTTGGATTTCTTCGGGCACATTTTTTCAAAATGTCCAGTGGCTTTGCAGCCGTTACAAGTTTTGCCAGCAGCGGGGCAGGCAGACTTGGTATGCGTAGAGCGGCCACACTGGGGACATTTCTTGGGTGATGAATAAGCAGACTGGGGTGCTGCCTTAGAGGTGGCGTCCGGCGCCGGCTTGTCACCAAAGCGTTTCTGACGCTGGTACTGTGACCTACGGGCGGCGTTGATCGATGCTGACGGCAGAATACCATCCCCAGTTTGCTTTGCTGCTTCCTCAGCACGGCAAATCTTTGCGGCGTTAGCTAGTGTCAGGGATTGTTCGGCTAACAATTTGTGCCCAGTGTCGTCATCGTGCACACCCACAACAATCCGGTCACGGAGGATCTCCTCGTGTGCTTGCACCAGCATCTTGGGGCAACTGCTGCACATGCGGGCAGAGCATGCGGAACAGACTTGCAAGTCGGCGAAGTCGCAGGCAGCAAAGGACTCCTTTAAGCCGGTGTAAAAAGCATCAAAGGTTTCACCACGTTGCTGGCGTCGGTTATAGAAGTCTATCCGATCCAGCAACGGGTTACGTTGCCTACGGATATACTTCTTGACAGCACAGATTATGTCCGAGACATCGGCATTAGTGGCCACGGCGATGATCACCTCGCGCAAATAACGCCGTATGTCTTCATCTAGTGCCTGGCGTAGAGCACTCACTCGTGTGAGTCGGTCCTGAACGGACAATTTCTGGCATCTCGCGTAATCCTCCCAAGCCTCCTCCCATGCGTTGAGGTCCGCGAGCGTGGCAGATGAAAGCAGGATGGGCCGTTCCACCGAGATTTGTTTCGTCGTGAGCTGCTGCGATGTGGATGTATTGGAGCTACTCAACAGGGCAGTCAGGCGTGCCTCGCGGTCCGCTGCGGCTGTCATCTGTGCCTGCATGAAGGTCAACAGAGCCTGAACATCAGGGCTGACAGGTAAGTTTGGCGCGGCTGCTGCGCCAGGGACAGCATCACTACCAGAGTCGAGTCATTACGAGTCATTACGAATCGAAACAAATTTACAGCACTCGCACGAGGTTCACACAACTGAAACAACGGGCCGGGATTGTCAGGTCACAACGGGTGATCTTACCTACCGCCTACAATACTACTACGACAGGTAAGAAAATAGTTCACTGCGCCATGTGATAAACGTATTGGTTTATTCTAATAAATACTTTGTAGTAGTCTCCATCGAGGAGCGAGTGGAAAAGAACAAAAAAAAAAAGAACAGCACAACCCAATCAGCATGCTCAATGTGTAGTCATGCGTGCATGCCAAATACCAATGCATGACGTAAGCTAACATAAACTGCGTACAATAAGACAGATGCACGCGGGTGGTTGCATATAGGATAGCGTACATAATAATACAACAGGCAGGCCGTCGTAATGATGGGTTGAATTTAGTACACCGTGTAATACACAAGTAAAATGCGGTACCAATTTGTCAAGGCTATCGGCTGAAAGGGAGGGGGAGGGGAGGGGTTCAGCCACCTGTTGGAAAACCGAGTTTAGTAAACATTCGTGCTTCACCCAAAACAAATTGGTATGGCGATTACTACAAGAACAAGCGGAATACCAATTAACTGCCAACGATGGTTAAGGCGTGCGGTAGGTTGCGTCGATGGAAAAGCTGCAAAAGCGCTGCAAAAGCAAACTCGCGCTGCAACAGTGAGACAGCCTGTCACAATACAGTTTCTATGCTCTGTACCGTGTGTCAAGCTCTGCCTTATAAGGGCATTATGCAGCCTGCTTTCTAACATTGTTTGCCATGAAGCAGTTTGTTAATGCAGAGGCGTCGGAAGGTATTTTTAGTGTGCTACGGTCAGCCATCTCAGTACAGTGTACTCGTGGCGGAGGGGTTGCTGAGCTGAAACATTTGGAAATCGTACGCACTGCCGGGCTCCCGCGGGGCCCCACGCAAGCAATCGAAACCGCGATGCGCGTACGGCATGCCGTATAAGCCACCTATCCGCCTTGGGTGCAAGCTCACCCAAGGCCACCCTCGCAAGGCAGGAACAAGTAAAGACATTCACCAGTTGTTTGTTGTGCCTGCCCGCCGAAGAAATTGTTTGAAATTGTCTCTTCTCCGCTCTCAGCGATAGTCTTACACCCACTATGGCTTTCTCGCAGGCACAAAGGGAGTCTATCCAGCAGATCGTGGCAGCCAGCGTGGCAGCAGCCCTCAGCGGCAACGCACCGGAGACCGTCACGGAGCACCAAGAAGACGGTATGTGTGCTGATGAATTCATGCACCATACGAACATGGGCTACCCCTCCTGCATTTCGCACGTCTCGGTGGAGACAGCTGATCGGATCAGATGAATCGAGTATATAGATCTGGCAATACTGCTCCCGCCCAAATCTATTTCTACCGGGGAGCCAGCCCCTAAGAGGTTCCGCATAGACGAGGAAGGGGCACTTTCAGTGACAAGCGCACCGAAAGGAAAAATTGAGAACCTTGCCACGTGGACCGAGGCATGATCTATTTTTAGCCTGATCGCCATCCGTGATCAACCTCGCTGCGCCGCTGCACAGATGCAGCATCAAATACGCATGGAACAGGCAGCCGAAGAAGTACCGCTTTTCGTCAGTCGTGGACTATGACACGAGGGCACGCCAGGCCCTGTCAAAGGACCCAAGCCGATCCCTGGCGGAGCTCGACACGGAGCTTTTCGCGACGTGTTTCACGGGACAGGCCCTCCCCAATTGCAGCATTTGCAAGAAGGTGGGGCACTTGGCCGGAGTGTACACCTCGGCCTTTCGTGGCAAGCAGGCGAAAGAAAGTGCAAGCACTAAATCAACCGAAATCTGCCGCCGCTACAATCACGGCGCCTGCAGCGGCCCATGTTGCTTTCGACACGCCTGCCTCTTCGGCTCGCACGCCGTGTCAGCCTGTCCAGCCAAGAAATACGAGCGAACAGCAATCAGCCCCGGCACCCCTTTCTTGCATTCACCCACCCCCTAACACCCCTATGAACATTGCATTACACCCCAACACCCCTATCAATATTGATGCATTACACACTGAATTGCTCGCGCACCCCAATCCTGCATTTGTTCATTCTCTAATTAGCAATTTACGTGCCGGCTGTCGTATCGGGTTCGCCGGACCCCGTGATGTGTCCGTACGCAGCTTGTCTTCAGCGGCAGCACATCCCGAGGTCGTCGACCAGTACCTGGCCACGGAATGCAGTCGGGGGCCACACCCGCTGGCCCCTTCAACGCGCCGCCATTCGTCCATCGACGCACCTCTGGCGTAGGTGTGGTCCCCAAGAAGTCGGGCGGCCACCGGCTCATCATGCACCTGTCCGCCCCCGATGGAAACAGCGTCAATTCGTTCTTTGACAAGCAGGCCTACCGTTTCTCTCTTATTACGATTGACACGATAGCAGCCACGTGCGCACGACGGGCCCCGGAGCCCTTCTGTCAAAGGTGGACCTGAAGCACGCTTTCCGACTCTGCCCCATGCACCCCGACGACTGGCGGTTCCTCGGCATGTTGTGGAAGGCCAACTACTATATCGATACTGTCCTGCCATTTGGCCTACGCTCCGCTCCCAGTGTGTTAATCTGCCTGGCTTCCGTCTTAGAATGGATCCTCCGTAATAACTATAGTATCCCTGCACTGGAGCACTATTTGGATGACTTCGTCTTAGTGTCTCCAGCAGCCGAGTCTGTCACGTCCTCGGCGGCCGCGACCCACAAAGCCACTATTCTGCAGGTCTTCACAAAACTGGGCGTTCCAACAGCAGACGGCCCGGACAAAGTTGTTGGCCCCGCCGCCTGCCTCACAGTGCTTGGCATCGACATTGACATTGCCGTACATTGCGGCAACTCCTCGCAGCCTGGGCCATCCGGTCATCAGCGTCCAAACACGAACTCCAGTCCCTCGTTGGCCACCTGGCGTTCGCCGCCAAGGTCGTCCCAGCCGGTCGTACGTTCACTCGCCGCCTCATCGACCTGTGTTCCTCGGTCACCAGCCCTGCCACGGCCGTCGGGCTCACCAGCGAGGCTCTCGCCGACGTAAAATGGTGGCAGGATTTCCTCCCACTATGGAACGGAAAGGCCCTCCTACGCGACCCCGTATGGTCAAAGTCCCCGGACCTGGAACTGTTCACCGACGCGCCTGGCATCGGTTTCGGCGGCTTTTACCAGGGTCGTTGGTTCGCGGGCACATGGTCAGGCCCCACCATACACGTCCATAATGTGGAGAGAGATGTGGCCAATCGCCATTGCCTGCCAACTCTGGGGCCCCCACTGGGCACAGACGGAGATCCTCTTCCACTGCGATAATTCAGCAGTGTGCACTGTCTGGGAGTCCGGCACATGCCGACACGCCGGGGTCATGGCACTGATACGCAACACCATGCAACTCGCCGCTCGCCACAACTTCTGCCTGCTCGTCCGTCACATTGCCGGCGTCGACAACAGCATCGCAGACGCACTCTCCCGGGCCCAGTTCCTGTGCTTCCGCCGTCTGGTTCCCGACGCGGAGACTGCCCAATCATCACTCGCAAGTGCCCAATCCGACAACGGATAGTCGCATCCGTCTGCAGTTGGCCAGGCGCTCCAGCCACCAATTCAAGCTCTCGGCAATCCCAGCCACCACTACGCAGGCTTGCCGTACGTCCGTAGTCCCCCCAGCCCAGCATCTGGCATCTCTGCTCTTTTCTTGTTGTTTTGTTTCCCCTACTCTACTAACCCATCTACAATTTCCGCTGTCAATGATTATCCATGCCCTCGCTGGGGCAAACCCTTTATGGTCTATCTTACCACTCTGTGTGCTTAATGGGCTTATCCGGCCCCTAAGAACCCCCTTTTTTCTTTTTGGGAGGAATAGAGGCCGACACCCGGCATGCCCCGAACCGGCGACCACTGTACACGGGGGCGCTTCATATGTACGCGACACGCGTGGCCCGCATGGCGCAAACAAAATAATGGCCAGGCACCGTGTTGCCATGCTACCGAGGCAAATTGTAGAGGGTGTTAAGTCTACCTAGCAGGTTGTATGTTTGCCCGTATACTAGGGGCACGGCTCCGCGAGCCTGACCTGCTCGCTGTCTTGTGCTCTGCGTGTATATCCAGGGTCGCAAGCCGCGCGCATAACATCCCGCCGGATGTCCACCTCCCGCCGTAGGATCGCCTACAGACACCACCGCCGCAAGCAATGGCTCCGCGAGCCAACGCTTCGAAGCCCGCTGTCTATTGTTCTGTGTGCCTATCCAAGGTCGCTAGCCCCGCTCGCATTACATCCCGCCGAACATATAACTCCCGCCGGAGAATCGCTTACAGACACTGCCGCTGCAAGCAACGGCTCCACCGAACCAAGGCTTCGCCGCCTGCTGTCTGTTGTTCTGTGTGTCTGTCCAGGGTCACCATCCCCGCTTGCATAACATCCCGCCGGATGTCCACCTCCCGCCGGAGGATCGCTTACCGCCGAAAGTAACGGCTACGCAAGCCAACGCTTACGTGCCACCCCCATGCGTCCACCCGCAAGGCTAAGTACCTATGGGTTAGGCCAATAGCAGAGGCTCCCACCCCACAGGGCTGGGGGAGGGGGGCTCTCGGGTCGTATTTGCATTAGCCCCACAGGATGAGGGCGAACCTCTGCCAAACCAGTACAGGAACGCCCCGCCGAGGTCAGGGGGAGATTTCCCACTAGCATAAACCACGGGTCCTCTGCTTACAATCCGCAGCCACGCCGCCGAGCCAGTGTGTTCCGGGAAGCGGGCCGCTGTTCGGCGACCCGGTGCAGCACACATACACCGCAGCGCGGCCGACCTACCATCCTGCCTGTTTAGGAAACATGCGCGTGTGCCTGCGTATGGGTGTGTGCGTTTTGTGTTGCATGCACTTGTGCCTGTGTCCTTCTAGGCTCGCTAGCCGCCGCTCTCTCAGCGAGAGCAGAGCACCTGATTGCCAACTCGGTAGCCACTGGCACACAGCGCACGTACGCCCCAGGCTGGCGTGCATTCCTGGAGTTCATGGGTCGCATGCGCCGCGACGCACATCACCCAGATCAGAACAATGTCCTGCTGTTCGCTGCCGCAATGTCTCACTCAGTCAGCGCCAGCACTCTGAGAGTCTACCTGGCCGCGATCGAATAGCACCTCCTCCACATGCGAGACCCGGTCTGGGTTATATCCTCAAGCCGCATCACAGCCCTGCTCAAGGGCTTAGAGAGGGAGAGAGCGTCGCTTCCCAGGCATCCGTCAGCACGCCCTCAGCGCCAAGCGATCACCGTCCACCAGCTGAAGGCTCTCCGCCAGTTCTTGGATCGGTCCTTGTACTCCCCGGCAGACAAACTAATGCTATGGGCTGCTCTTACGACAGCCTTCCACGGCCTGCTGCTGCGTGTGAGTGAGTACACGTCGCTGTCACCACACGTTCCCGGTTAGACCAGCAGGAGGCCTATCTGCAGCTCCAGAGGAATAACACGTCTCAATTAACAACAGGCGGGGAGGTAGCGCTGCATCGCTACGCTGACCCCGCACTATGTCCCGTCCGAGCCCAGGCTTACGTTCGGTCCAGCAAATGGAGCAATGACAAGCAACCCTATTCAAGTTTCAGGATGGTCGCCATCTCACGCCGAACGACATCAATGCTGTCCTACACAAAGTGCTAGGTCCAAGCATCAGCAGCCATTCCTTACGCGCCGGGGGAGCCACACACATGGTGGATCGAGGCGCACCAGAGTATGCCCTGATGGCTGCAGGCCGCTGGTCCAGCAGGGCATATCGCACGTACATTCTCAGGCCCGCAGGCATGCCACAGCACTACTAGAGCCTGCGTGTCGCAAGCCATTCGGTACCTTTATTGGAGGTACGGGTGCTGCTGATGGGCGCCGCATATTGCACGCACATCGGCACCATTGAACTATTCATGTGTACTAAGATTTAGTATTCCGCTGCCATAGCAACCTAGTAGTACACGTAGCCGTTCTGACGGCGCAGGACCCCGCGGGTCGCTTCTGCTGTCCTTGCCTCTCTGATGTGTGATATGTGTACATCATTTATAATCATAACCTCATACTGAGTACATGTACGTCATACTTGATTACCGATCACAGGCTCATGATTATTCACGCTGGAATAAACGCTTGCGACACCCCACAGGCTCGTCTCTGTTGTGTGGCATGATGGTTAACTGTCACTTGTCACGTGTCACTTGCAACTGAGTACCTAGACCTACAACTAACCTACAAGTACAAGTAGTACTGTTCAGTGGTCATGTACATGTGAATTCTGTACTAACTCTTACAGTTCTAGTCCATGTCAGCTCACAGCCTCACAGCCACAGCGTACCAGGGCTAGGGACTTCCCCTATCTAGCCGGCCCTGCTACATTTGTATGTGTCTAGCTCCTCCACTGCACACGTACAATGTCTACAATAGTCATGCAGTCTGTCACGTGATCACTACTATCATGCAGCACCTGCTTGATCCATTATGGATCACCGGTGTGATTCACCGCTAGCGCTGTAATCTGGAGACAGAGCCTCTCAGAGGGATTATTTTTTTAGTGAGTGTGCACCTTCAGTAATTAAATACTGAAGGTGCACTCACTAAAAAAATAATCCCTCTGAGACTCTTGGTGTCAACAAATTTTGTTGACACCAAGAGTCAATGACTGTCACATGACAAATCCGAAGTGGCATGTGTGCACAGCCACACGGCTGTTACGACACTCGACAGTACAAAACGGGCCCACTTGGTTCTTGTACAGGAGATAGCTAGCCAGTGCTCGCTGGGTCGCTGCTGTTACGATCACGTGAGTCAAGCAGTTCGCGCCCTGCACAAGTTCACCTGTCTGGCGCCACGGACCTTGCCGTGCTGGGCAATGATTTTTTATCACAGGGGGGAGGAATGGTCGGATACACAGCCTCGTTTACTAGTAAAATAAGAACAACGAATGTAGCGGAGGATACACACAGTGTGCTGACAGTGATCCACACGGCGAAGTCAGAGTGTAATACTAATACTGTAATAGAGGACAAGAGAGGCAATCACGGCTTGTTTGCTCATACATGTACAGGTACATGTACTTAAAGTTTATTCATTTGCTTTCACTATCATCAGGCAACGTTGCCTGATGATAGTGAAAGCAAATGAATAGGCGACGAGGAGACAATAACTTGATTATGGCGATAAATAGTATAATTGAAGCGGACATTAGGAAATGATCAATGTGAATACATGTACATGTATGTAAGAAAAGAGAGAGATTGTAAGATTTGTTACAACTCTGAGTTTCACCTATTACTACCATCATCAGACAACTGATGGATCCAACACGGGCAGACAGAACATAAGGGGAAGCAAGGTGGGAAATTCTGAGGGGTATCATAGGCGACGCGTATCATAGCGCAAGAGTCAAGTGCAGGCGTGAACTTGCCAAGTCTTCAGACTTGGGGCTATGCAGCAGCAGTTCCGGCGCGAATGAGAATAGAGCTGGGGACTTTTAAAATGCCAAATCCACACATGCCAACACCATTACACACAAATGCACCCACACTCTCTCCCTTTTCTCACATACACATACACTCGCACGCGCATACACGCACGCACACACATACACACATTCTCTACATATATATCTCTCTCACATACACACACACACACACACACGCACGCACACATGCATTCTCTAAATCCCCCCCCCCCCCCCTCAGACCTCAGACCTGCCCATCGCGGAATCGATGATAGCGAACAGCTATGTTAGACATAGCAACTTGTGCTGGGATTACACCATTCAACAGCTTGCAAGGCTGATGAATCGACCGCCACTATTTTTAGCCTGGTATCCACCACACAGCTGATTGAAGTGACTTTTTCTGGCCAGTGAATCCTTTTTTTTCATTTTTCCACCCCCCAGACGCACACACATTCTCTAAATCTCACACACCATGTACCCAAATACACACACACTCATTCTCCAAATCTCACACACACATTCTCTCTCTCTCTCTCTCACACACGCACACACACACACACACACACACACACACACACACACACACACACACACACACACACACACACACACAGACACACACACCATGTAACCATGTATACGCTCGTCGCAAGAGAAGCACGCAAATCTGCAAATGCCCTGGATGTGCACCCACAGATTTTCTCTTATAGCAACGATAGCGAACAAGATCTGAATAAGACAGATCAATACTTGCGCCAGATAACTGTCTAATGGACCGTATGCCTGTTAAAACAAAATGGCGTCACAATTTATTGAAAGTGGTATAGTTGGTGGTACGAGTGTTCAAAACCATTTGAACTTCATACTGTTCGTCTTCTTTTTGACATTCTCTCTTTCCATCGTCCTTAGCTTTTGTTTGTTGTGAGCTGTTTTGGCTTTATCCTATACCTCTGGGGGATGCCAAGTGATGGTTTTGAGAGGCTGGTGATGGCTGCGAGCGAGAGTTTGCCGATCGCCATCGTCCTCGCTATAGCGATGAAAATACTAGTTACTGCGCACCTGGCAGATATCACAACACGTCGGAGCGTCCAGGAGCAAAGGAATCTTGGGTTTTCACTGGAATCTAGTTCCTCGAGCATCGTATACCCCACCATCGATGGATGACCATCCAGAAACGTTGAACCTGGTCTTCTGCAGCATCTCGCAGTCCCATTCAACAGCTTCCAAAGCTGAAGAATTGGCCACCACTATTCAGCCTGGTCTACACCACACAGCTATGTAGTGGCTTTTTCTGGCCAGTGAATCCCTGCTTTTTGGTCTTTTTTATTTATATTTATTCACACGCACACTCACACCCACACACACACACAAGCACACACACACACACTCACACACACAAGCACACACACACACACACACACACACACACACACCTGGTCCTGGTCCTGGTAAACACTGCCATTACGGTCACGTGTCCCCTTACCGGGCCGACAATATAGAACGACGAGCGGGACCATGTTCGAGAGAGCCATCTCCAGCAGCTATTATTATTATTGCAAATAGCGCTGAGTAATTACACGAATGCATAAAAACCAGCATTTGCTTCCGGTAAGGATTCACAAACATAAGACAAAAACACCATGGCTCAATGTAACTGCACATACGAAAAGCAGCTTCTGTTGTCAAGTTCGAGTGGCAATGTCAGAAAGACGGTAGGCTGTTCGTGCACGATGTTCACCCTGCAGGGGATAAGTCAAGGACCCGGCTCGGCAGAGGAAGATGAGTGCCGCGGGGTGCCATTCCACCGTGACTTATCCTCTGCCAACTGCCGCAGCTGATTAAGGCCTCTAAGCGTGCCCAGGCGAATGCCGAGTCAGGCTAGGCAGTCCTGAGAAAGCAGCTATGGATCTGGCTTATCATCGGAAACAACTCCTCTCACGGCTGCCGCTAGAACTGGTCCATCACTCTCCACAACAGAGCGAGCATTCCATGAGCCAACGCTCAGAGTCGTTCCAAGTCGTTGTCTTCGTGCGGTAGTTGGCTCCACTCGCGGGCTTGCACACACACACACACACACACACACACACACACACACACACACACACACCTGTCCTGTCCTTTTGTCCTGTTGAGCCACTGCCATGAAGGTTACGTGGGCCCCGGAGGAGCAGCTGAGAGAGAGGAGGAGCACACAGCCCTGTGACGATCCAGGTGATGCGGTTAGCGAAATCAGCGGGAGCAGGCGCAAACACATGTGTAACCCTGACGGTCCTGAACGGTCGGACGACTACAAGTCCGTGAGCAGCGATGACGGGCGCGGCCACGTGTAGACGCAAAGCAGCTGTCACAAGCCTGGCAGTGAGCGACGCAGCACAGTGGTCCGGAGAAGCAGGCAGCGGCAGGGGCGCACCGACTGCTGACTGGGGGTAAGTACACATGTGCCTTGCCAGACCTCCACGGAACTTCAGCCAACGTCCACACTCTCCACACTGGCCTGCACTATCCATCCTTCAGCACATTTAAATCTGCCAGGTCGAAGGCACGCTCGGCTATTGATGCAGCCCGTGTGACGTGGATAGAAAGCAAGGCGCTAGCGGCTACAGAGTCACGTTTTAACCGAGCTATTATAATTATGAAAGTGCATTCACGATCTCCAAGCTGCAGGGGAAGTTTGAAACCGGCTTGGACAACCGCAGTCGTGGATGAAAGCGAAAATCTATGCACGTAACCAGAAGAGCAGGGTCACCGTTTTCGGAGACATTTCTCTGGAGTGCTGAGCATCCATAGCACATGGTCACCTAGTGCGCTGGACTCCATCCCACAACTGCCGGTAGACCAAGATCTCGCTAGTCCCCCGAGACTGGGGGAAGCTCCAGAGCGGTGTTAGTGTATGCACTTGTTCTGACTGATTCTGTCGTGATAATGACATCACAACTCCGCATTACACTCGTTATTACATGTGGACGTCGTGCGGAGGTCCTGCTGCATGCATGTGTTTATCTGTATGATGTGGTCCACTGGACGTCGTGCGGACGTCCTGCTGCATGCAGAGCGTGCGCAGCGAGGGAGTGGCTCCTTGCTCGGACACCTTTGGGTTTCTGTTTGGAACTCGACCCGTACTCATGGTAGCTTGGTTTGTTTTGTTCATGTTAGTTCCCACAATAATGTATTTCAACTAAAGTACTTACTGCAAGAAGCCGGTGTGCGTTGGTGTACAGTGTCAGAGGGTAGTTTCCCCACAGCGTGGTGCCGAAACCCGGGAGTTCGGAGTGCCACGTGGACTGAGGTACATTGTGTTTGTGGAGATGAATTTGGGTTCCTACCTGAAGCCGTTCCGCGGAGGTCGAGAAGACCTGGAGACATTCTGGTCTAAGTTTGAAGTCGTTGCAAAGATCAACAAGTGGGACGAGGGCGGAAGCTCCAGGATGACCTACTTGCCGTTGTTGTTGGACGACGAGGCGTCGCTGGTGTTTAGTCAGATGTCGGAGAACGATCGAAAGGATGCTGACAAAGTCAAGAAACGTTTGGAAGAATCTTTCAAGCCAACTCCCGCTCAAGCGTACAAGCAGTGCGTGACGCGAGTGCTGCGCGGTGATGAGTCGGTGGATGCCTTCGTGGCTGATTTGCGGCGTCTCTTCACATTGTCGGGGCATAAGTTGGACGCGGGGGACAAAGATCCG